ACAAGCTGCTCGAGCAAAAATGAATATACTACCTCCCCTTTAAGTCGAAAAATCAATTTGACGAAACCTGAGTCAAATAAAATCGTCGACCTGCCACTGAGATCGAAAACGTCAGATACCACAGAACCAAATCGAATAAAACCATTAACCTGCTCGAGCTATCTGTAATAAGCTCCATCTCGACCTGCCACTGAGGTTAAGGACAGATATGCAATAATACTAGATCAAACAGAACCAAGTAGAAATCATCGACCTGTCACTGAGGTCTGCTCGAGCTATCCGTGTCTTCACGACCCAACACTAGGATCGTCCACCCAGCCCGGAGGCCTTAGTCATGGTGGATTTTGGCTTCCCTCAACCTGCCACTGGGTTAGGAACAAATGTACAATGATAACAAACCAAATAGAGCCAAGAGGAAAACATCGACCTCCCTCCGAGGTCTGCTCGAGTCATCCATGTCTTTGCGACCAAACACTAGAATCGACCACCCAGCCCGGTCATGGTGGATTTTGGCTTCCCTCAACCTGCCACTGGGTTAGGAACAAATGTACAATGATAACAAACCAAATAGAGCCAAGAGAAAAACATCGACCTGCCTCCGAGGTATGCTCGAGTCATCCATGTCTTTGCACTTGCCCACCCAATCCGAGGGATGTACGAAACAGGGGGTCAACCTGCCCATCCCAAGGGGTGTACTAAACAAGCGACCACCCAGCCCGGAGGCCTTAGTCATGGTGGATTTTTTTTCTTCGACCTGCCACTGAGGTCAAACAGAAACACATCGAGCACAACAAGATATGATATCAATTGATCATCTCCGTTAGTATCATCAAATGTATAATTGCGTCGAACGAGATAAAAAATGTTGAATGTATTTTTCTACCTCCCTTTCCTGGTTGTGCATGGTAACGTGTGCTCGAATTCTTCGACCTGCCATTGAGGTCGAAAAGGAAAACATCGAATATGACAAGATATAATAACACCCAATCATTTTGTTAGTCATCCAAACAATAATCTCAACCATGTCGATATGCATCACAATCTCCTCAACAGTTTGTCCAGAGTACACAAAGAATGACCATAAACCCCTGTCGATTAAACACGACCACCGAACAAGAGTCGAGAATAGCTTTGTACCTGAAGGTCGAGAATACCACTCCGAATTGTCTTACCTCTCCAAAAGAAAATGATTTTTGTCTTTGAGATTGCCACCGGTGATCGATACCATTCATGCTCGTCCATCATTATCGTCCACCTTTGATGGACTCATGCTCGTTTATTTTGTCCTTGACACTCCACAGCTCGTCTGCCATAGCTCGTCTAGACTCGGATTATTTCGTTGTTTCCTCGGCAAAAATTCAGAGAGATATAATTATCCACATTATATTCAAGTCCTCGAACAAATCACATATCACTTCAAACAATATAGCATCTTCTCGAACAAATCAAGTAATCCCACGAATAAATAAAATAACTGCTCGAGCGAGTTAAAATAAATTTGCTCGGTTAAATCAATATAATGCTCCTCAAATTAGTCAAATAATTCTCACGAATATGTCAAATAGCCTCCTCAAATACACCACACAATTACACAAACGAATCAAATAGTTCTCCTCGAATCCAACAACTAATTCTCCACGTCAAATAATTTCCATGAATGTTTGAAATAATGTCTCCTCGAACAAGTCAAATAATATAACCTCGAGCAAAACAAAATCTCCTAAAACAAATCACATATTTCCACGAACGAATCAAATATTTCCACGCATGAATCGCATAATTTTGCACGAATAAATTGGATATATCCACATAAAACACATATTTCCCCTCGAACAAAGCAAGTAATTCCACGAACAAATCAAGTAATATCTCGAGCAAATCAAATAATTCTCTTCGAACGGATCGAATAATTCCACAAGCAAGTCAAATAATACTCCTCAACAAATCCAATAATCCTCATGAATATATCAAATCATTATCCTCAAATGACTCGAATGTATCAACGAATAAATCATATGATGTCTCATCGACCAAATCAAGTAATATCCACGCATAAACCATATAATGCCACGAGTCAATCAAACGATTATCCAATTTCTTCTAATTTAAAAGTCCTCCATTCAATGATTTAAATTAATCTCATACCTTTTAATGAGAATTATATCTCGAATTTACCTCTGATTGCAATCCCGTTATTAATTTTAGGCGAGAAATGGGACCATTTGTCTAATCCGGTAGCACTTTGGGCTGCTAGAGGGGGTTTAAACTTCAATTGGGCCGCATTTGGGGCGTTGGGCCGTGGCTGAAGGCTTTGGACCACAAAAAACACGCTATTGGGCCGAGAATAAGGGCAATAGGGAGCAGGCCGCTCGCGGGCCGGATATGGGCCTAACGCGGGCTGAGAAGCTACAGCGGAAGCGGGCTGGGCGTGGGATGGAGCAGGGCCGAAGCGGGCTGATAGATGGGCCAGACGCGGGCTGGGCGCCTGTGAAGACGCGGGCTAGATCGGGCTTTTCGCTGGCTGGAAGCACTGCAGAACGCGGGCCGCAGGCGGGCTGGACGCAGCCCGCGAAAGCTTCATCTCCTTTTGCGCGAATTGGGCTGCGGGGCTGGGCCTCTTGCATGGTTGTCCACTGGGCCGAGTGTATTGGGCCTCCTTGCGAAGTGGATCACTGGAGTTGGGCAGCTGGGAGCTAATGGACGGACCGCTCATTGGGCATCCTCCTTGGGCCGGAGGAGCGGGTTCGCGTGGGCCAGCGAGCTGAGATCTGAGGGAATGCACAGCGGCTCGCCGGAGAGAGAATGTCACCGACAAAAACTCGTCGGTTCCGACGAAAGGGACTAACCGAGCGTGCGCCCCGGCAATTGGAACATGATGGTGCTGTCGACTTCGAGTGATTCGCCGGAAATCGAGGGAAAATTGGAGAAGAAATTGGATGTTGACTATTGTGCTCTTAGATCCAAAACGTTTGACCACTGAATCGACGACCTTCCCGGAGGAATTTTAGCTTGAAAATTTAAAGGTAGGACGAGCATGAGGAGAGCTTCGCGATGGTGTAAAAATTTTCCAGATCGGACGACTTTGACCGGCTGCCGGCGACGGAGGCGGCGGCGGCCAGCAGCGGAGGCGGCGGTTTCCGGCGGAGAGCGGCAACTGGAGATTCGTCTCGTCTAGAGGATTCCGGTGGTACCCTCGGATTTTTCATAGCCCTTCCGGATCGTCGGAAAAATGCGTTTGAATGTCTGATTTTGACCAAAATTTCACTAGATCTAGAAACTTTGACCACAAAATTGATGGCCTTCCCGGAAGAATTTTTGCATGAAATTTTAAGGAGAGGTTCACCTCGAGGATATCTATCCAATGATGTGAACGATTTTTCAATCGGAGCACGTTTTCCGGCGGTCGGCGGCGGAGGTGGCGGCCGGCGGTGGCGGTGGCCGGCGGAGAAGAAGGAGGTTTTTCAATTTTTTCAGTCGGAACTCCGCTTGACTTTTTTGACGGGTCCCCACAGACGGCGCCAATGAAGTGAATAAGTTTCACCCGAGCTCCTTCAACTCGAACGGCCTCCGCACCTGCAGAACCCAACGCCGGGGGTGGCCCCGGCGTCGGGCCTCCGATGCTTAAGTAAGTGCTCAGATCAAGAAAGAGAGAGAGAGAGAGAGAGTGTAGTAAATGAATGAGGAGAGGATGAGAGAATGAGGTACCTTGGCCCCCTTTTATAGGGGGAGTGTACCTTTTGGGCCCAAGTTGGGCCTGACCCCTATCGTTGGGCTTAGATGGCTTAGTGCGCTTATCTTTGAATATGTATCTGCTTGATCCATTAAACCGGGTCTGGTATAATATCCGATATCAGTTGCAACACAAGCTCCTAATGGTCGAATTTCAGTAGAAGTTTCACGAGGGGTTCGAACATTTGCAACGCTAGAGAACATACATTATTCCTGAGTACCCAGAATGTTTTTAAAACGAGTTTTTGAATCAAACATCGAACCGACAATAATATGGTTTGAAAAATAATAAACGTCACAACCACGTCGACAAGGTTCGAAACAATAAAACGAGACTCTAAGCTTATACAAATTTGTCACAGCAACGTAACGGTATTCACGTTTATAAAATCGAGAGTTCCAATCTTTCCCGAAAATCCACGAATATACGAAATATGTTGGGCTCAGATACGCAATGCGGAAGATGTAAATTAAAATATCAAGGTAAAATGGTAAACAATAATCCCAATCCCAGCTACTCAAGAATGACAAAAGAAAATCTCTTGCAATAATACCGGAATAATTCTTTTCTGATGTGGAAGATCAGATTAAACTGCGACCACAGAGCATACTAAGAATATCCCACATAAATAAAATATGCAAGAAATAAAACACCAAGATTTAACGTGGAAAAACCTCCAAATAGAGGAAAAAACCACGGGACAACCTCCGAACAAATCCACTATATTTTCAAGATAATTACAATATCTTTTCACACTCCCTTACAATAGAAATGTAAAATATAGTGACCCAGTGAGACCCCACTCCTAAACAAAGAGTAATAGAGTTGATACCCAACCCGGTATATTTTTTCCACACCCACAGGATTTACTCAGACACTCTATTTTTATCTCACTGAACAATAACACTCAAAGATGTTATTTCTTCTCTCTTTTTCTTTCTGTTTCTTGGTGCTTGGTGCATCCTTCAACAGCTGAAGACCCCTCTATTTATAGTAGAAGATGTCACAAGAACCTGCACCACATAGCTACTTTCTTTCCTCCCCGTGCCAACTAAAGTTTTGTAAGTTTTTAGCTGGATTAACCAAAATTCATGTGGCAGGATTCTTTTTCTTTTGTTTTCTTTTGCCTACCATTATTATTATTATTATTATATATATATAT